TATATATATATATATATATATATATGTGACCTTTTTAAAATTTTATATTTTATGGTTTCATTATGCTCAATAATGGTGATGCTTTAATCAATAGAAAATATATTGGTATAAAAATATCAAAAGTTAAAGCTTTTGAGTGACATTAAAATGAAATTGTTGAAGAATATGTTCGTGTATAAATATTAATTGATCAACTCTTACTAAAAGTTTGTTTTCGGGTTGAGAATGAGTTTGATAATTGATGCACCTCGCCAGATTTTAGTCTCCTTAGGATCGCATGCTAACAAGTGGCATTATATATCTACGACTCCCATTTGCCTGTTGTTTCCCTCACAGTTGAGCATAGCCACAAAATACATTGCTTCTATCATAGAACCACATGGTTGAGAGCACTTTTGATGTGTAATATTTGATAAAAAGCTTTCATTTTAAAGAATTAAAAGGTATACTTATCGTACTTTTCAATGCTAACAATTATAGAGTATAGTAGGTTGGAGATAAAAGGATACTCTTGGGTTCAAAAATGAATAAGAATTTCATTTTATATTACTTTTTATTCAATGTTGCTTTTGTATTAACTCTCCTATAATTTCAATCCATCCACATGATTATGTTAATGGATTTGAAGCAATAGAGTGGAAAATTTTAACATGATCCAAGCCTCATTTGAATTTGATTTGAATAAAGTTCACTTTTTTATAGCATCTTTGTGCATTGTTTGAACTTCGATCAAACTAGTTTTAAAGTTAATCACCATGTTATATGTTTGAAATATAACGTGCGAACTTTGTTTGAATAAGTTTCAAAAAATGAATATTATGTTCAAATCTTATTCACATTTTTAACTCTCTTACTATCTTTTTTCTATTATAACCTAGAATTGGTGGCGAAGCAATAGAGTGGAAAATTTTAACATGATCCAAGCCTCATTTGAATTTGATTTGAATAAAGTTCACTTTTTTATAGCATCTTTGTGCATTGTTTGAACTTCGATCAAATTAGTTTTAAAGTTAATCACCATGTTATATGTTTGAAATATAACGTGCGAACTTTGTTTGAATAAGGTTCAAAAAATGAATATTATGTTCAAATTTTATTCACATTTTAAACTCTCTTACTATCTTTTTTTCTATTATAACCTAGAATTGGTGGTGTTCGATGAGACAATTACTACATTTTGGCAAATGAAGGAAAAAGTATGAAAACTAACATTTGATTTGCTTGAAAGGGTTTGCTTTTAACCATTATAGTAAATATCATTTGAGGTCACAAAGAAATATTGCTTGGAAGATAGTGATAGCGCTTAAGGGTGCAAGTGAGCCATACTAACCCAAATTTTACTTATTAACATGCTCAAAAGTTAAGTTATTATGTAGCAAAATCAAATATAAGCATGCATATAGTATGTATATTATACAAGATTAAGTTCAAGATCATCCAAATTGGCTAGTTGAATTGCACAATTGCTTGATTAATTCTTGGTCTACACACTCTTATAGTAGAGATCACTGCAACACCACTTTACGCACTCTTATTCATTAAAGGCCATATAGACCATTACTACATTATCTGGTGAGCTCCTATCATAGCCTTCTTGATAAGGCTTTTGCATCAAGTATTGATGTTAAATCTTCTCCAACAAGTTTCCATTGCTACCTGCTCTATCCAAATCCCACTCTATAGGTCTCTTTGTGGTATTTTCCAAGTAAAGTGGAGCACCAAACACCATAGAATATCTTTGTCAAACCCCAAATGATTGCTAACCATCTACAAGTATTGTATGCAAAGGGCAACTGCCAACTAATGACATTAATAAATCCAACAAAGAAGGAAACCAACTTCCTACATGCATTAACGGTTACCACATTGTCATCATAGCCAAATATATGCATGCACATTACAAACAAAATAAGGATATTATTTAAAAAAAATTGGATACTCTTTTTTCTTAAATTATTGATAAATTCATAAACTTATATGTGATACTGATTGAAACACATGTTAACACATGTATTTGATGAGTATAACTTCAAAGACCTATATAAATAAGCATCAGTCAACACGATTCCCCTAATATACTTGGGGGATAGAATAATAAAAAAGAATAAGAGAAACATATATATAATATATATAAGCATATAATCATTGAGAAACTAAAAAAAAAGGTTCTACTTAACTGTAAATAAATAAGCATATCATCGCCTCCAGTATTCATGAAGGTCTAATATCTAATGTCACGATTAATAAACTAATTACATTATGGAGAATTTAACTCTAGCTCAGATATGTCCAATCAACCCAATATATGCATACATTTGACGCATTAAAAGAACCACTAGTATGTACAAGTGAACAAGCAACGAGTAAGCGTAGTACCAGCATCCAACAACTAAATGGAAAACTATAATGGGGGAAGGGCTAAATTTGATGGTAAATCATGAAGATATGAAATTATAGTTACCAATTAGGTTCTCGTCGTCATTTCTATCATCATTTTTTCTAAAATAATTAATAAAAGGACAGGTTATAACTATATAATCGAAGCGACTAAAAGCTTGCAAACTTCCAAAAAAATTGTCAATAATTAAAATGAAACACAGTTTAACTTTCATAACAAAACATAATAAAAGTTGGAAGCTAACATAATTTTCATATTTGAAGTTAATGATATCTCTTTTTCTCCTTCTTATTCTGCAGAATAAAATACAATTTTTAATTTTTTTTCTAATTGATTAAATTTATAATATTCATGTTGATAAAATAAATTACTTACATTTATTCTTCCCTTTATACCAAATAAATTATGGTAATAATCAACCCACATAATAATAGTTACATATTATCTATTAAAAAAGCAGTTCTTATAGGAAGGGAAAGAAAATCACATGATCTTCTCGATAAAATGTAGCATTCC